TAAATGGAGCTTACAGACAGGAGAGGAATCAACTCTTTACAAGGATAGATGACAGCAGGACAAGGGAAATGGTTTGAAGTTGAGGGAGGGAAGAATGAGGTTGGATGTCAGGGGGAAGTTCTTTGCTATGAGAGTGGTGAGGTGCTGGAACAGCTGCCCAGAGAGGCTGTGATGCCCCGTCCATCCCTGGAGGTGTTCAAGGCCAGGTTGGATGGGGCCCTGAGCAGCCTGGGCTGCTCTGAAATGGGGAGGTTGGTGGCCCTGCCTGCTTTGGGAGGTTGGAGCTTCACGATCCTTGAGGTTCCTTCCAACCCAAGCCATGATTCTGTGATCTCAAGAGGGATGGGTTGTCACTGAAATCATGGCAGAATCATCTCTTCATACATAACAAAGAGCCTCCAAAGTCAGCCTGAGCAACCAAGGCTGCAGGAATGAAAGGAAACAGAAGGGCTGCCAGCAAGCAGCAAGAAAGCTTCTCTCTTCCTACAGGCCTGAGATTTCCAAGTCAAGCATTACACTCATACCCTACACTCTATGATTAAAAGATAAACATAAAAGATAAAAGAGCAAAACCCTGGAGCACCAAGACCACTGCTGAAGGTCTTACAAGAGCTCAGCTGATCACAGCCCATAGCCAAGCTGACCATGCCCTAAGATAAGAACCCTCTTTGGGAGATGCTACCTTGCCCATGTTGTGTGGCGCTGAGCACACAAAAATCTCAACTCTGAGCTACTACCATTTATCCACTCAACAGAACCATTTTCATGGCACAAAATCCTGTGTGAAAGACAGTGCAAAAGTTGATATCGTTGCCATATTAAAGCTTTACATTCTTCTGGTACTCCACAGGCACTGAAAACACAGCTGGCCCCACAAGCTCTGTTGCTGCTATCTCCTGGTATCTAATGCTTATGAAATTCATTTTATCAACCCATGAAATTCACTGCCATCTTCAGCAACTTTATTCTGTTTCACCTCTGACAGCGCTCAGGAACGGCAGTGATCTCCATTTGTTGACATTAATAGGTATAACTCATTAATTTCCCTTTGAAAAAAAAAAAAATGCTTGGGCATGTTCATTACCAAAGAGCTGAAATCATAACTGGAAATTTATGGGCTTACCTAATATTATCCCACATAAAAAACTACTCTGACCATCGTGAAGGCTTCAGTATTACAAACAGAAAATAGAGGGACTGAATTTGTGCTCGCATACAGATGGAAGTTATTATGAACTCTCAGAATTAACACACATTGTTTTGACTTTGGAATGTAACAGCAAAGCAAGTTTCTCCAAATAAATGCTCTACCGAGCTAATGCTGGGCTGCTTCTAATTCCAGCTGAATTCTCCTGAGTGCAAGATGTGGTTTTCATTGTTATTATCCTGCTGTTTCACAAAACAGTACCACTTTATCTCTAGAAGAGAGTTTGCATTTCAGTAATTTTTGTTAATATCAACCCAGCCTCACTTCTTCCCCACTCACATTTTGCCTTGCCCTGAGAATTCCAGATAATTACGAAAGGAAAGAAGAAAAACACAACAAAACCATACACAAGGAAGCTTCCATGAAACTGCAAGAAGCCATTTGCATCAATGCAGGTTTTTCCGAGCTTTTTGTTTCTCACCTACATGATCAGGATTCACACGAGGCACTCAGTGAGGATGGAGACCTGAGCTCTTCCCTTCACACTCCAGCAGGGTCAGCCACGCTCTGACATCACACAGCAGCCAGGGAGTAAAGCAATGGATGGATCCGCGTTAACTCATGACAGAACACTCACAGGACTTGTTTCCTCAACCCCTTTGGGCCTTCAGAGGATTCTCTCACAGGCTGTGATGGTCTGGAGACCACCTCTCCCTACCCATTCCATCTTTTTGGCGTCAATTCTCTTCAAAGTAAGCCTATCTGGAAGCTGTTCCCAAAGCACCCTTAAGATATTCAAAGAGCAACTTAAACTCCGGTAAGTTACGCTGAGAGCTACCTACGTTCACGTTCTCTTGGAGGCTGATTCCAACAATCTCAGGGTTTAGATCAAGCCAGCCCTGAACACAGAACTCCTGTATTTCCATATATTATCTACCTGCTCTGCTAGATTGTTCACACAGCTTTCAAGGCGGTATTTCCTCTTGGCAGAACCATAGAAAGCTGCAATAGCTGACAAAGAACATCAAAGAAGAGGTGACTGAAACAATTTATATAGACTTCAGTAACACTTTCATGATTAAATTAGTAGTAGAAGCCCCCCCCCCCCAAGATTTCTGATTTGCTTTTATTAAGTTTTTATAGTCAGCAATGTACAACCTCAACCAGGAACGCGTGAACCACTGGTGTAGAACAAAACCACTTCACACAGTTTGGCCAGCGACTACCCTGCTTTGCACCAGTGATCTCATGCAAGTTGGGAAACATTTTTCAACTCAAATACATCCTTCAAGTCTTCATTTACTTTTATGAGTTTAAAAACACGCCTGTGATTTTGGAAGTCGGCTACAAGGAAGGGAATGGGAATGAGTGACCGTGAGTTCAACAGTTCACAGTCCTTTGGAAACAGGACAAGAATAAAAATCAGAATGAGTGATTTCAGCAGGCCCAACTCTGACAAGTCAAATAGAAAAAGAACAGGAAAAGTAGTGAAGTGGTGACAGTTCCTATTAAAATAAGAAAAAAGATACTACAGGCACAAGTGCCAACCAACCCAGACTGCAGGAAATGGAAAGTCTACCAACATGGGCTCAACAAAGAGATCAGAATTTCACCTTCCGAAGCAGCACAGAGTAGCTGTTGCCACACGACCCAATGGCCAACTTCAGAATCATGCAGGAAAACACACGAGGCTGAAAAATGAAAGCAAGCAGCATTGCCACTCGCAAGCTACAGAATGAAGTAATGAAAGTATGAAGAACAGATTAAGGAAAACGTGGATTTGATACTAATGGAGAGAGAAAGCTACCAATCATTTGAAGGAAAAGGAGTATTTAATCCATTTTTTCACTCCTGTCTTCCCTGCGAAAGCGTGAACAGATGGTTGCCATTATTAATGCCAGCAACAAAGAGTCACAGTCTAAGTTATATTAACAGCTTGGTTAAGTGAATTTCCAAGATTAGCAGGATTTGATTAACTTCATCTTAAGCTATTTTAGCCTTTAAGTAATTTCAGAGCCATTGGAGGTTATCTTCCAAAATACACGAAGTATGGGCAAGATACCAGAAGTCTGGAAAATGGTAAATGCAATCCAAGCCTAAAAAACCCTCCAAACAATAGGATCCAGAAGTGTTACTCTAATTCAAAGGTAGGGAGGGTTGGAAGAGAGAGTTGGGAGGAGAAACCCAAACCAAACAAATAGAAATTAAGGATAAAAATGATTTTTCAGGCATAAAGGCGTCAAGTCAGTTCCTATTTGAAGTCCCACAAACATGTTGGAACTGAGCTGTCGTGTTTCTGCTTGAATTTAAATACATTATTTTGTCACTTCGTGGTACACAAGTGACTGGGGAAATGGAACACTGGCAAAGCACCCTACAGAATGAATCCAGAGCAAGAACTCTTTGAGTGTAATTAACAGTTCGCTGCCAAAAGTGGAAGTGGCAATAACGAAGCAGGGCTACATGTGGATCTATGCTTCATCCCAGCTCCACTCAGTATTTCCATCCAGAGACCTAGATGAACAGAGAACAGGCTCACACACAAATAGCACGAAGCTGAGACTGAGTTCTCACCATTTACTTCCCAATCTCCTACGTCATGCCACCATTTCAGAGAATCAAAGAGGTGCAGCCTTAAGGCTACAGCCTGGGGTACCCTAATATGCCATTTAAAGGAGTCATCTGCACACAGAATGGTGTACAGAAGAGACTGAGCCCTGTGCTGAAGGACAAATTTCACTGTTATTCTGATGAGGGTACAAACCTTATAAGGAGCTTAACAAAAACTGCAAAGACTTGCAAAGATTTCTCCCTTACTCAATGCTTTGATGGCAACAGCTCAACACAGCACCCAGCTTTGGGAATGGAGCTTCAAGAAGGATGCAGATCAGATGGAGAACAGCAGGCAACAAGAATGCTCCAACCTTAAGAGCTGCGATCCAAAGAGGACACTCAGACAAGGAGAAGTTGTCTTTCAATGCATAACAGCTTGCATACAAAGCAAATTAATGAACAGATTATGAAAATCAGAGGCTACGTGGAACAAAAGAACCAAGACAGATGAGATGTCAGGGAAGCTTTTAACAGCCAAGACAGAAAAGAACAGGGACAGCCTGATCAATCCCAGGCTATCTTTCAGGATATGGTCTGTAATCAACTAGGCAGAGATGCACAGATCCTGCTTTAGGACCATGCACCAACCCGAATGGCCCCACAGGTCCCTGTGGGATCAGCTTCTGCTTTTTGAACACTGTCTGAATTCCATACCAAGCGTGGGGCAGCAGGTATCAATGCCATCTCAAATAGGAGTTCATCAACTTGTACAAGGCAAAAGCAATTAACCGTGCATTTAGCAACACAGGAGATGATTTAAAAGCAAACAAACCAAAAAACAACATAAGAGCAAGGAAGTAAGGATAGGACTTTAAAAGAAAAAAACACCTCAGGCATTGGCAAGGCTTACGGTTTTCCAGACTGCTGTGTTTTCTTATCAAACAAGTGTTGAGGTAGAATTCCAGTTAAAATAATAATATTAAAGAGCACGGCGATGAGAAAGAAATGAATATGTTGAAAATAACAGAAAACACTTTCTACTTTCAAAACAGCACACATACACACACAGTATTTACCATTTAACAGGAAAAAAAGGCTTACTGGCTGGCAAGCCCTCCTCTAAGGAGCAGAGAAGGTCTTGAACACAAAGCAGTAAGGCAGGTGAGGGCCATCACTTGAAGAGTGCCTCCAGCAGTTCACAGATGTTCTCTATGGAGAAGAGCCTCACAAGACAGTAGTCCTGCCATAGTGACACTAGGAGATGATAGATAATCAGTAAAAAAAATCTCAGTGTACCAACCTGTGCTATGTTTTTGTTGAGAAGATACACTCCATATTCAAACTGAAGCTTCTCTCCTCCTTTTGGGTATAAAGGAAATCTGATGAGGGAGAAAAAAATACAAAAAAGAAAAGCATTTAAGGTGACATTATTCAGATTAAGAAGCCACAGACCCCAAGATTAGAAAGGAAAAGATCACGAGCTTCTCTAGCTCTGGATCCCCTCCATACATCATCAGCAACTCTCTGTACCTGCAGTCCTTTAAAAAAAAAACTAATGTCAAAATTAAGCAAACACAATTCATTAGCTGAAATATGTTCACAGAAGATGCTTTTTGACCCTGCCAGCACTGCAATATCCCTCTCAGTTCCTGAAGCATGCATTGTAATGTCAGATCCCACTTCTGCATTCATACTCAGCCACGGTTAGCTCACTTCCCAATCAAACGAATCTTTTAAGAGCTCTCCTTTGATTACATTTTTATTTGGAGATTGAAAGAGCACAGATCTCTTGACAAACGTTTGCAAGCCCATGTATCAACACAGCAGAAGAACAGTACAAAGGGTTCCTCGTTTGTGGCTGCTCCCCATCCCATCCTCACGCCATACAAAGCCCTATAATGCCCTTGGACAGCTATGCCTGGTGCATCTCTGTACGTTCTGGGAACCCTGGCTTAAGTGAAGTGGTTCACTGTTGCCACTATTTGTAACCTACCTTGCTGAGGATTGCCTTCCGACCCCTCCTGACCACCAGAGGTTGAGGTCACTGTGGTCAAGTTGGTGATTTTAGTACAATCTCCAGCTTACATTGATGGGAACCACACCACGAAACCAACTCTTGCCTTCCTTACAAACCCTACGTTCTGTAGCTCTTAATCAAGTAGCCGAGTGCATTATCTGCACAAAGCCCACATTACATCAGAAAGCAAAGACTCTCCTGAATTTAAGATAACAAACACAGGAGATTGATATCTCCTAGAAACAACACGCACTGCGGAGGGGTGATTACACAAAGTGTATTTTATCATCAATCAGAGAGAAAATCTTGACTGCAGCCCCGCAGTAGAGTACATTTGCAACATCTAAGGAGAACTATATAGCACCATTAAAGCTAAAGGTTAACGGGTCACGATCACAGCAAATCAAATATTAAGATGTCAGTTTCAAGTTTTATGCAGCTTTCAAGCTCAGCAGGTCACCTCAAGTTGAGGAATACAAAAAGCACCACCAACAGCACGCATCCAGCTCACCTTGTTTAACACAGCCAAAAATCCACCGCGTTCCCCACGCAAGAAAACAAAACCTTGAGAAATGAGCACATGCTACAAAAATCCCACCCCGCGTTACCCTGAGTGCGAAGCACAAACAGGAAAGGGATTCATTTCAGTTTCTACAATTACACTCAGCCAATCGTAGCAGGATTCAGATCTAAAGGATACCTTTCCAATTAAGGGTATAAAACTCAGTCAAGCTTGGCAGTAAAAGCACCATTAGGGACACAAGCTGTGTCTCTGTATACAACAGTATTTCATTAAGTCACCAGTAACAGGAAGCACGTATTCTGCTATTAGATACAGAGCTCTTTGATACACATCAGATAGAAGAAGTGGATAAAGCTGTTTTACAGCTCCTGCTACCATCTCCCACACAGCTGAAACGGTACAGATTAAGCTTTTCTCTTTATCAGGTTGGTCTTGGTGTGGGTTTCTTTTTTATTTTTGTCAGTTCATCACAATTCCGTCCTCTAACCTCCACTAATTAACCCTGAAAGACTCTAAACTCCATTTACATGAAAGACTCTAACCCTGAAAGACTGTAAACTCCAATTACATCCTCACGTCAGCACTTATAACGTCACAAGTCACATGAAAGCCTTGAAAAACATGAGTGAATGCCTTTGCATAGGCACATTTATGACATATAGAAAAACATCCCCAACTTTGATGTTCCTTTCTTTGTGTGCTATCTCACTTGCCCATTAAGGCTGGTCACAAGCAATAAACTTAAGGGACAGGAATCAGGACATTTTATACAGTGGTTCACCAAGCATAATTGAATACAACCTTAACTGCTGGCTCCCTGCATGAAATTGTTTCTGCCTCCTCCAAATAGCATGGCTGTAAGCTCAATCTCTTCCTTTGGCACGCGGCGTGTTGGCCTGCTGGGTAAGGTTATCGTTATCCTTGCTCAGAAATTACACTTGAAAATTACTCTTTTGGTCATTTTATAATCACAAAGCACTCAATAAAATGCAAGGTGGCGTGTGCCTGCTCACTGCACTCCAACATCTCCCTTCCTTGATTCCATTCTTTATGGTATTTTGGGGGGGGAGGGGTGAGAAGAGAAGATCACCAAGCTCCTGTAAAGCAGAACACAGACGCTTGATCTAAGATGAGAAATTCAAAGGATTAAGCGTGATGTATTTATTGGAAAGAAGAAAAAGCATGCCACCAGTGCCAGCTGCGTAACCACTAGATGAGACTGTTAGAAGTTACTATGTAGTAGCACAACCTGTCAACTTTAGGAACACCTTTACACAGACAAAGCCATCCCTTGGCATAGAAGTTGCACTCTTCCTCCTTCTGTCCTAGGGTCCCTCCTCAAGCATCTCTTGAAAGGTGATTTAAGAGGTTCCTGAAGATCAGAAGAAAGCAGTCATCACCCTCACGTCCCAGAAGAGCAATGCAAGAAGCTACCAGCTAAGCCCTGGGAAGGTGATGGAGAAAATAATCCTCAGACACGTCCAAACATCACAAACATTGAGTGAACAACAACCTGGTGGAGTTCAGTATGGGGAAATGGGGAAGGAAAAAGCCCAGCCACCAGTACAGGATGGGTGGGAAACAATCAACTGGGAAGCAGCTTGGCCCTGGTGGGTGCTCAGTTGAACAGAAGCCACCAACATGCCCTTGAGGCAAAGAGGACCAACAGCACCTCGGGTTAGGACAAGCATCACCAGGGATGTGATCCCTCCCGTCTGCCCAACTGCTGCTGAGATCACATCTGGAGTGCAGGGTCCAGTCCTGGCTCCCAACTACAGTCAGATATGGATGTAACTCAGGAAGTCCAGCAAAGGATCACAAGATGATGAGGGTTTCTATCACCTTATCTCAATGCTTTGAGCAAGTCTTGATCACTGTGGATGAGAAATAAAGAGCCCAAAATAACTTGCATCAACTTAACCAGCTTCCTAGAATTATGGACAGCAAAGCTTCTACCCTGTGCAGTTAGATTGCTCTTCACTCACGTGAACTCCTGGACTATTAGCCTTCATCAGCAAGCAGACTTCATAAAACAGCTCTAAGACAACCTGCACTTACAGCAGATATTCTGTTTCTGTATACAAAGTGCACAATGCTCAGCTGACACACGGCAGTAATAATTTCAACAGTGGCTCATAAAGAAGAGAGAGTTCAAGAATATTAACTTGGTGCAAGGAAAAAAAAAACACAACTTCAGTAGCTTATAACACACCAGCCCAATTTGGAGTTGTTTCTGTCTATTGTTTCCACTGCACTCAAGGCTGTTCTTGCTCCACAGGACACCTGACATGCCAGCAATGATACCAGCAGGGAAAAACACAAGGACTAATGGTGACAGAGGGAGCAGGGAGGCAGGCATCTGGAAAGGCAGCTTTGGGATCAATGACAATTGTGCCAAAGATGTGCAAATCAAGAAAAGGGTTTCACTCTGAATTCAGGTGAGCTCTGAGAGTGACCCAAACAGCACACAGTTTTAACCAGATGGTCAAAATATGCCTTAAAGATCCAGGATAAAACAGTAAGAGGATTTTCAATCTTGAAAGCTTATGTTTGTTTTGGAAGCGTCACATTTCACTCACATAATCCTGAAGGAGTGACAAAAGTAAAGCTCTTACGAATGCCTATGGTTAAAAGTTGTGTTTTATAAGACTGACTGCGATGCAAGTCAGATGGGCAGAGTAACCCAGCTGCACCACGCTGCCAAAATGGAGGCAAATCCACAACAAATTGCACAACATGCACAGGAGTTGCATTGTCAGACACACAGCTCACCTCCCCTTTCTGAACAAAACTTTTGTTCCTGTACTCATGGTACCTCAATGAGAGAACAGTTTCTTCCATAGTAAACCAGAAAAATGTCGTGGTTAGTGACTCCAATCATGCTCAAGACTTATACTAACACTGTTCCAGACCCAAAGTGTCAAAATGAGCTTTAGGGCCCCCTTTAACTGGGAACCAGTAAAAATAAGTTCACAGCAGTTACAAGGTGCTGTTTATCACCTCCGAGCGATTTCATTTCAGCAGAGCTTGCAACAGTTGGCAACCAACATGGTTTCATCTTAGCTGTGCTCCATCTATCCTGGTTGAGGGGGAGGTTCCCAAGTATAAGCATCCCCTCTCTACCTGGAATTCCCAAAGCAGATGTGAGATGCTGAATAAAGAACATTTCTGCTTAAACCTGGTCCAAGAAAGATTGCCATGGAAGCCATAAGGGAACAGGCTACTAAGAATCAGTGAGGAAACTCCTCACGTCCATCAGAGGCACCTCAAGTTCAAATCAGATCTTATTCCTAGCACTGAAATCTGTTGAGCACTGGATGCTACCTGTCACCGAGCAGCTCTAAGGGCAAAGGAATGCTGAGTTTCTGAAGTACTTCAGGTCGCTCAGTTTCAGTCTGTTTGCACAGAGAGGTTTTGCTTACAGGCAGTGAGCAAGCAAACTCAAAAGGAGGGACGTGAGGGGTTGAGGTTGGTGACTTTAGAGGTCTTTTCTAAGCTGAATGATTCTACCACCAAATGTACCCACTTCTAAGAAACTGGAGAGACGAATCAAAGCTTGCTCTCAAGTATCAGAACACAGATCAGCACGAGGCTAAAATCAAGAATCTCTAATTTCCTCGTCAACTGCCCACACAAATGGGTGAAACGAAATCAGAACTAGAAGGAGCGGTTCAGTGTGTGTCAACAGCTGGTGCTACTTCACGGCGCAGACTCCATCAGAAGGTTTCTAGAGCACTAAGCCTCATTAGATCCTCTCAAAAGAGCTGTGAAAGGGAAGAACAGAAGCCAAGGTTACAACGCTTTGCTCACAGTAACTCTGATGGGAAACTGTAACCCCA